AAAATTTTGCGCAAGTTTACATTTTTAAAAAACATTTTTAAATTATATACAATTCATAAATCAAAAATATTGATTTATGTACACTGAAAGAATGATCTTGCAGTTATAACGAAAATTATCTAGATGCGATAAATTATCTAAAATGAATAAATAATTAACAAGATATGTTTCGTATCTAATCAATATAAAAATAAAGACAAAATTTATATCTGAACTATATGTCAAATTTATCAAAAAAGTCTCCAAAACGTTCAATCAAATGACAGTATAATTATGATTCATATTTAGTAATGATTTATATTTGATTGATAAGACCTAAAAATTTTCTTGCATATATCGTTAGAATATGTGTTATAAATTTTACGCGTATGATACATGATTTTCTACTTGATACAAAAAATAATGATAATTCTAGCTGGAGCAGCAAAATATTTTTTTGCATGTAATTATATATAAAAAATTTTTTTCTCGCGAAATTAAAAATATTATAATTATAATTGACACAGTTAATTTCTAAAATTTTTAACTTTAAATTAATTTAAAGACTAGAAAATTATAATTAATGAAAGCTAGAGAAAATTAAAACTTGCTTATAAAGAATGTTACAATTACTATTAAATATTAATAGATAAATATTAATACATATTTTAATGAAAGACAGAGAAATAATTTTTTGTTATACAAACTGTGTAGCAACGTTACAATGTGTATATCTTTTCTTGAATGTCGGTCGCGATTGTTGCAATACGTCATATTTGCATTCTTAACAATATGTCACGCGTCCGAATATTTGTAAGTGCAATTATGTTGTAATTAGCCGTAATTATTCGCGAGAAAGCTGAAACTGAAGAATTGTCTTGCCGACAAATTAGCGGTTTTTTGAGAATTAACTATGTCAACTACAAGACTGTCAACTAGAAGAAGAAAGTAGAGTAAAAACAGATATAATATGGAAAATCTTTATAAATTAACATTATTCCGATATAAATGAATATTAATCGAAAATAAATCATAATTTTTGTATAACAATTACTCTTTTCACTACAAATTACTAATTCCATTAGAATTCAAAATTGGTGTAAATATAATACTTAAATCCACTTATTTATGTACATAACACATGTTATAAACAAATTTTCGGAGTTCCAATGGGTTCGCCGCTCCCCCATAATTATTGACATTGTAATGCAGAATGTAGAGATGTTGGCGATCGGCAGATTATTTTATGCTTAACATACCATTTTTCTATAAATATGTTGATAACATCTTGTTGTCAATTCCTAACGATTGTGGTAATAAAGTATTTAATTCTGTACATGAGCGACTAAAATTTACGATGGAAATTAAAAATAACAATCATAAATTTCTTAGATGTCAAATTGATTAGAGAAGACAACCATATTATATATATAAAAAGGTCATCTCGGACAAATATCTAAACTACAATTCCCATAATCCAATTTTTCATAAAAAAAGAATTATCATGGGAATATTAGATAAAATCAAATCCATATCTCATCTTCTCGTTTTTATTTGCTAAACCTTCAATGATTAACAAAATATTAAACTATTTTATTACAAAATAGTTATACCCTATAAATTTTATCTTTAATAACTGAAAAACTTAAATTTTAACGATAAATAACAATAAACAAACGAACTAATAACACAGAAACAAATCATTAAAAAATTTTTCATTATTCCATACATTAAAGAAGCAACCAACAAATTCTCAATCATAACTAACAAAATTAAAGTACAAATCGCATTCACAACATCCTACAATCTAAACCGATTTATTAAAACAAAGACATGGTTAACAAAATAAATAAATGTGAAGTAGTGTACAGGATTGAATGCCAAGATTGTGAAGCCACATACGTGGACAAACCAAAAGACAACTCGACATGAAAATAAAAAAACATCGAAACGACATCCAAAAAAGTGGTTCCCTCTCAATAATTTCTAAACATAGAATCTTTCAAAATCATACATTTGATTGAGAAAACATAAGTATAATTCTGGATAATGAACCCTCTTACAAAAAGAGCTATTTTTGAAATAATATACATTATAAAACAAATTAAAGGTCTAAACAAACAGAACGATTGCCGAACACTTACGTTCCCATCCTGGATCTTTTGTCTCCATTTATAATTATATGCTCACTACCAAAAACATATAGAATAAACATACGATAAAAGATCATTCGTAAATGTTCTGTCAAAAAGGAAGGTTACAATATTCAAAAACTAACGAAAATTCTGTTAATATTGGAATTATAGGTATTCTTATCATAATTATAATTTAATCTAATTTAATCTAAATTAAACTAGCACTCACACTTATTACACAATTATATTATATAGATTTAGAAATTTCTCTGTCTACTTAAGTTCACAAATTTTATAACTCGATACACTGTAAGATGAGACGTTAATAAATTGAAAATACACATCACAAAGACCATAATACTGACTATATAGTGGATAGAAGCATAAAATTATATCGTTAACATGTGAATTTAGTTACTCATTAATTTATTCATTGAAAAGGATTACATTTATGGTTGAAATGTTTGCATCTATTTGATCTACTTCATGATTATATCATATTAATAAACAAGCAGCCAACATCAACCAGCTGGCTATAATAGCTTTAAATTTGTATAGTATCGAATTTCATCATAGCCAATAATACATTATAATTACTTTTTTCCTCTTTTACAGATTCGAAAATTTGTTTTCAGAATTAATGTATACGCATTAATATGTATCTGGTAAGGTGGAGTTTATGCCGAAAACGACAAAATTTTTCTTAAGATTTCAATTTCAAAATTTTTTATCGTTCTCGGCATAATCTCATGGATACGTATTATTGTGTATACTTAATACTGGAAAAAGATTTTTGAATCTCTGTAAAAGAGGAGAAAATAATTGTTATATAAAAATTACGATTTAATCGGTAATACAGACGATTTTAGAATCCCCTTAAAATTACATTAAATTATCTACTTTTAGTTTACAGAACTCTTAAGAAATGTATTAGCTAATATCTAGTTGGTTTGTCACATGCTCTTACCATAGTTCTTACTTACTGTGACGAACGCGTTGGAATGAACTATAGTAAGAGCATATTGCAGTATGCGACGCGAATAAACTTCTAATTATTGGAAGTCTTTAAAATTAATAAGTTTACTTCAATATTAAGAACAAAGTAAAAAGTATAAAAATAAAAGGGCCTAAGAAAATTCAATGGAATACGAATTTCAGTAAACAGTAAGAAACAGTAATAAATAATACAATAAATAAAATGTAAACTTGTTTATTTATGTAAATTGATCGAAATACAATTAAACATAAATAATTTGGGAAGATTCTACAAAATTGCCTACAGCTTCGTTTGCACACAGCAATATTGTACACAGCGTATTGCACACACGACAATATTGTACAGAGCATATTATTGTGTGCAAACAAAGCTGTAGGCAATCGTTTTGTAGACAAACGGAGCTCTTCCAATAATTGTTATGGCACGATTGACAACAATTACAATGTTAATTTTCTACTGCCTGTCACTAGAATGTGATGGATTTTAAAACATAAATTCTTATTCTGTATTAACAGTTCTTTTTTTTTTACATTATCTATATTTATTCTTAGTTTGGAAAACAATTATTTTTTTGTATATAAAAAATAATATTATTGCAAAATTATGTTAAATTAAAATTTATTTTAAATTCTATTTTATTTAAAA